TCAATAGAGAATCTTTACATCTCCTGTACCCTTTCTTTTTCTCTTATCAGCACATTATGGACTTGCGCCTTCACATGAGCTTGGGCCCTTACTTGTTTTATAATTTGTTATCTATGAATTTATGGTTGTTCAATCTTGAGAAGGAATGACTGTCCCTGGACATCTTCCAAAACCATTTTCTATATGGTTGAATTGTATTCGACTCTTCATATTGTGATGAGATGATTTCCCCTAATAGCTTTTTAATGGCTCTAGGAGAGCAATACAGAGCACAGGACCTGTCTAGGATGAGCAGGATACCTACAAATGATCCCTAGTGCCCCAGGGCATGGCACAGTCCCTTATCTCTACCCGTTTCCTTTCATTGAAGTGCCTTGTAAGGCTTGGCCAAGATGTAAGGAAGGAAGGTATCTGTCACCTATTCTTGCCTTGTTCATCAAAATGCATCCATTCCATCTCATCCACTTGTTGCAAGGTAGACTATATTGGGTACTAACTTAAGCAGATGGGTACAGCTCAACTCTATGCAAACTAGCTAATGTGCTTTCCCCAGGTAGCACAAAATGTTAACTTGATTGCAATGCATAGACTAAGTTGCTAAGGAGTTAGTCCTTTAAACAAATAGTGTTTATTGTTTTGTATGGGTTTTAAAATTATGAAATCTGTATAGACATTATAAAAATTTTGGAAAATACAGAAAAGCAAAAGGAAGCAATTTAAACCATGTATAATTCCACAACTGAAAGAAAACTATAGTTAACATTTTGATGTGTATTTTTCAAGTCTCTGTTTCAGAATGCTGCACATTCTCTTTCTCCATAACTACTTTTTCTGCCTAACAGAGTATAAATGCTTTTCATGCCATTAGATAGCCTTCTAAACTCTGTGACTCATGTAGAAGCCAGGACCTCATTATTGTGCATTCAACTTATTTCTGAATTTCTGTAAAAACAAGGTGGTGATTAAAATATTTAGAGCAATGAGTTTCATACACTTTTGCATTATATCTTTAGAATAAATGCACATGTCAAAACAAATGCACACTTGAAAAGCTTTTGATACATATTACTAAACTCTTCCAGAAAGATTCTATCAATTACCAATTTTTAAAAATAATTAATAGACTTTATTTGCAAAATCATTAAGTTGCAAAAACAAAGACACCACAGGAGTTTTCAATTAGACTTTTTTTTAATCTAGAAGAAAATTTAATTTAATTGCTTAGTTCAGCAGAACCTGAGAGAGGTCTCAGGACCCTGAATGATAATATTGATTATATTATTTTATTTTATTTCATGTTTTTAAGTTCCGGGGTACAGGTGCAAGATGTGCAGGTTTGTTACATAGGTAAATATGTACCATGGTGGTTTGCTGCACAGATCATCCCATCACCTAGGTATTAAGCCCAGCAAGCATCAGCTCTTTTCCCTAATGCTCTCCCCTCCCCCACCCTTCCCCGACAGGCCCCACTATGCGTTATTCCCCTCCCTGTGTCCAGGTGTTCTCATTGTTCAGCTGCCATTTGTAAGTGAGAACATGCAGTGTTTGGTTTTCTGTTCATGCATTACTTTGCTGAAGATAATGGCTTCCAGCTTCATCCATGTCCCTGCAAAGAACATGATCTCATTCCTCTTTATGGCTGTATAGTACAGTCTAACATTGATGGGCATTTGGGTTGGTTCTGTCTCTCTGCTATTGTGAGTAGGGCTGCAGTGAACATTCACATGCATGTGTCTTTATAATAGAATGGTTTATATTCCTTTGGGTATATACTCAGGAATGGGATTGCTGGCTCAAATGGTATTTCTGGTTCTAAATCTTTGAGGAATTGCCACACTGTCTTCCACAATGGTTGAACTAATTTACATTCCCACCAACAGTGTTAAAGCATTCCTATTTCTCCACAGCCTCCACCAGCATCTGTTGTTTCTTGACATTTTAATAGTCACCATTCTGACTGGCATGAGATGGAATTACCAGTATGTTTTAAGAGTTCCCAGAATGCTTACCCATTTGAAAAATTATTGTTTTTAAAAAACTCATGCTAACTCTGTGGGCAAAAAATTCTCAGCAGTTTAATTTGCATTTCCTTGTTTAATACAGAAGTCTTTTGTGACTATATTTTTATACTTTTGCTAAGGATTATTTCGTGCAGTGGTTAAGTGGTGCTGTTCTAAAGCCTGAGTGTTCACTTACTGGTGACCTTGAGTAAATTCCTTGATCTCCCTATGGTCACACCAACTCTGATAATGGCAGTACCTACTCATGGAATCTGTGTGAAGACTAAAGAGGGTAGCACATGAAAAATGCCTAGAAAATATCAGGCATATATAACATACGTTTATGTTCTCTGTCATTTATATCTTCTCTGAATTGCCCTTTCACTGTCTTGGGGTAAGTAGATTTTTTGGTAGCTTAGAAATATATATATTAAGTATCTTAACCCATTGTCTGTCATATATTATAATTTCTCCCCAGTTGGTGGTTTGTCTTTCAATTTTGTTCAAAGTGAGGAAACAGCTGAATATCAAGAAATTCAGACCAAGTGAAGGCATAGTTTTGGTCCTGGATCTTTATTCTGCCTGTCAACCATACTGCTAGGAGAATCATCTTCCCCATCATTGAGAAAGTCTGGTATTGATTATAGCCACCAGATATCAGAAATGGTGGCACTTTAAGCAGCTTATATTGTTATATTAAAAATCACCATCATAGAATAAAACTTCTGCTTAATTTATGTAAATGATGATCACGGTAGATGAAAGGCCATGGTTAATATTTCACCATTTTCCATTTATCACCAAATCCAACTTGTCAGCATTCCATTAGTGGTGATATAAAATGAATTACTTCAACTTGAAAGAAGCTTTTAATTTGAGACCAAGAACCCTGATAGACTGTGTAACCATTAAGTGTTATTACTTTTCCCCTCTTTGCTGCAAATTGTGTAGTAGAAAAGGAATCTTTCTCATCATGAAGTCTCATGTATAAACTCAAGATGTTCCCTATATTAGCATATATAGATGCTACTAAAAATGGAAGTTTTTTACTTCACTGAAAAACAATATGGACATAGAGACTATTACTTTGCCTTATTAAGCAGAGGAATTACCAGAACCATCCTTGTAAAAACATGAACATTCTGCCTGAGCTGCCAATTTGTTTCAAAAAGGTATTAAAAGTGGGCAAACATTGCTGCTACATGATGAATGAATGGGAATGTGTTATATTATTGCTACTAGGCCACATATGATTGGAATTTTCCATATAAAAGCATTTTAAAAAGCAGTGTTATTTACAATTGATTATCATTAGGGAATGATACTGAAAAGAGGAGTCAGGAAACCTCAACTTCTAAATTTTACACTTAGATTTCTGTATTTTGTTGTTGTCATTTTACCTTAAGCATGTTTTACTTTTACAACATCTTTAAGAGAAAAAAAATTAAACCATGATTTGCATGGTAACTATTTTAAGAGTTGTTAGTATGTACAGGAGGGGATGCTTACCAGTGCTGAAATAGACACAAAATAGGCAACATTTAGATGTTGGCCCCAAGGCCTTGTAGATTGTCCTCAATTAAAAATGCTTAAGTTTGCAAGTCTTTCTTCTTTTTTCTTTTTTTTTTTTTTCTGTATCTGTTTTAATTTGTGATGATTGAAAAACATAAAGCAAGAAAAAAGAAATGGTGGCACTTTAAGCAGCTTATATTGTTATATTAAAAATCACCATCATAGAATAAAACTTCTGCTTAATTTATGTAAATGATGATCACGGTAGATGAAAGGCCATGGTTAATATTTCACCATTTTCCATTTATCACCAAATCCAACTTGTCAGCATTCCATTAGTGGTGATATAAAATGAATTACTTCAACTTGAAAGAAGCTTTTAATTTGAGACCAAGAACCCTGATAGACTGTGTAACCATTAAGTGTTATTACTTTTCCCCTCTTTGCTGCAAATTGTGTAGTAGAAAAGGAATCTTTCTCATCATGAAGTCTCATGTATAAACTCAAGATGTTCCCTATATTAGCATATATAGATGCTACTAAAAATGGAAGTTTTTTACTTCACTGAAAAACAATATGGACATAGAGACTATTACTTTGCCTTATTAAGCAGAGGAATTACCAGAACCATCCTTGTAAAAACATGAACATTCTGCCTGAGCTGCCAATTTGTTTCAAAAAGGTATTAAAAGTGGGCAAACATTGCTGCTACATGATGAATGAATGGGAATGTGTTATATTATTGCTACTAGGCCACATATGATTGGAATTTTCCATATAAAAGCATTTTAAAAAGCAGTGTTATTTACAGTGATTATCATTAGGGAATGATACTGAAAAGAGGAGTCAGGAAACCTCAACTTCTAAATTTTACACTTAGATTTCTGTATTTTGTTGTTGTCATTTTACCTTAAGCATGTTTTACTTTTACAACATCTTTAAGAGAAAAAAAATTAAACCATGATTTGCATGGTAACTATTTTAAGAGTTGTTAGTATGTACAGGAGGGGATGCTTACCAGTGCTGAAATAGACACAAAATAGGCAACATTTAGATGTTGGCCCCAAGGCCTTGTAGATTGTCCTCAATTAAAAATGCTTAAGTTTGCAAGTCTTTCTTCTTTTTTCTTTTTTTTTTTTTTTCTGTATCTGTTTTAATTTGTGATGATTGAAAAACATAAAGCAAGAAAAAGAGATGGTTTCCCAATGCAATCTAAAATTTTAAATTGTTGATTGAGTTCTAGACGGCTATGATACTGAACTGCAGGTGCATATGGGCCTTAAAATGCAACTGTTTCATGTTGTCCAGTCATCTTATTTATTTCCTTGTAAGCAAAATGTCAGAACATTTAGCTCCTTTAGTGCACTTATTTCCCACACCTAGGAATAAAAAATTGGGACTGCTGAGTAAAATGTTAAGTTTCAATCCCTTGAAGGCAAATACTTGACTCTCAGTAGAGAAATTTAACTGAATTATCTCTACTTGCAGGCAAAATGAAAGACCGGCTAGCAGAACTTCTGGACTTGTCCAAGCAATATGACCAGCAGTTCCCAGACGGGGACGATGAATTTGACTCGCCCCACGAGGACATCGTGTTCGAGACGGACCACATCCTGGAGTCCCTGTACCGAGACATCCAGGACATCCAGGATGAAAACCAGTTGCTGGTGGCCGACGTGAAGCGCCTGGGAAAGCAGAACGCCCGCTTCCTCACGTCCATGCGGCGCCTCAGCAGCATCAAGCGCGACACCAACTCCATCGCCAAGGCCATCAAGGCCCGGGGCGAGGTCATCCACTGCAAGCTACGCGCCATGAAGGAGCTGAGCGAGGCCGCCGAGGCCCAGCACGGCCCGCACTCAGCGGTGGCGCGCATCTCGCGGGCGCAGTACAACGCGCTCACCCTCACCTTCCAGCGCGCCATGCACGACTACAACCAGGCCGAGATGAAGCAGCGCGACAACTGCAAGATCCGCATCCAGCGCCAGCTGGAGATCATGGGGAAGGACGTCTCGGGTGACCAGATCGAGGACATGTTCGAGCAGGGCAAGTGGGATATGTTCTCCGAGAACCTGCTGGCCGATGTAAAAGGCGCGCGGGCCGCCCTTAACGAGATCGAGAGCCGCCACCGCGAGCTGCTGCGCCTGGAGAGCCGCATCCGCGACGTACAATTGATTATCATTAGGGAATGATACTGAAAAGAGGAGTCAGGAAACCTCAACTTCTAAATTTTACACTTAGATTTCTGTATTTTGTTGTTGTCATTTTACCTTAAGCATGTTTTACTTTTACAACATCTTTAAGAGAAAAAAAATTAAACCATGATTTGCATGGTAACTATTTTAAGAGTTGTTAGTATGTACAGGAGGGGATGCTTACCAGTGCTGAAATAGACACAAAATAGGCAACATTTAGATGTTGGCCCCAAGGCCTTGTAGATTGTCCTCAATTAAAAATGCTTAAGTTTGCAAGTCTTTCTTCTTTTTTCTTTTTTTTTTTTTTCTGTGTCTGTTTTAATTTGTGATGATTGAAAAACATAAAGCAAGAAAAAGAGATGGTTTCCCAATGCAATCTAAAATTTTAAATTGTTGATTGAGTTCTAGACGGCTATGATACTGAACTGCAGGTGCATATGGGCCTTAAAATGCAACTGTTTCATGTTGTCCAGTCATCTTATTTATTTCCTTGTAAGCAAAATGTCAGAACATTTAGCTCCTTTAGTGCACTTATTTCCCACACCTAGGAATAAAAAATTGGGACTGCTGAGTAAAATGTTAAGTTTCAATCCCTTGAAGGCAAATACTTGACTCTCAGTAGAGAAATTTAACTGAATTATCTCTACTTGCAGGCAAAATGAAAGACCGGCTAGCAGAACTTCTGGACTTGTCCAAGCAATATGACCAGCAGTTCCCAGACGGGGACGATGAATTTGACTCGCCCCACGAGGACATCGTGTTCGAGACGGACCACATCCTGGAGTCCCTGTACCGAGACATCCAGGACATCCAGGATGAAAACCAGTTGCTGGTGGCCGACGTGAAGCGCCTGGGAAAGCAGAACGCCCGCTTCCTCACGTCCATGCGGCGCCTCAGCAGCATCAAGCGCGACACCAACTCCATCGCCAAGGCCATCAAGGCCCGGGGCGAGGTCATCCACTGCAAGCTACGTGCCATGAAGGAGCTGAGCGAGGCCGCCGAGGCCCAGCACGGCCCGCACTCAGCGGTGGCGCGCATCTCGCGGGCGCAGTACAACGCGCTCACCCTCACCTTCCAGCGCGCCATGCACGACTACAACCAGGCCGAGATGAAGCAGCGCGACAACTGCAAGATCCGCATCCAGCGCCAGCTGGAGATCATGGGGAAGGACGTCTCGGGTGACCAGATCGAGGACATGTTCGAGCAGGGCAAGTGGGATATGTTCTCCGAGAACCTGCTGGCCGATGTAAAAGGCGCGCGGGCCGCCCTTAACGAGATCGAGAGCCGCCACCGCGAGCTGCTGCGCCTGGAGAGCCGCATCCGCGACGTGCACGAGCTCTTCTTGCAGATGGCAGTGCTGGTGGAGAAGCAGGCCGACACCCTGAACGTCATCGAGCTCAACGTACAAAAGACGGTCGACTACACCGGCCAGGCCAAGGCGCAGGTGCGGAAGGCCGTGCAGTACAAGAAAAAGAACCCCTGCCGGACCCTCTGCTGCTTCTGCTGTCCCTGCCTCAAGTAGCAGGCCGGCCAGGGCCGCCACCGCCCATCCCAGACCATGGAGCACGCTGGGAAGGACGCACCATCTCTGCCCTGCAGGGAGTTGCCCCAACTCTTTCCGGAATTCAGTCTTTAGAGAAGAAACGTGAGGTTCAAGAATTGCAAACAAGCCCGTGCTTGGAAAGATGGTTAGTTGATGCCGTCCGATGGTTCTTCAGTAAAGATAGATTCCTACAAAGTTGTGCAATGTCGTTATATGTCACCTTGCACTCTTAGCCTCTAGACAGAAGCCAAGTAAGGAACTGACGCTGTATCTAACTGTAGGGTGAATGTCTGAGGCCTGCCTCCTAATAAAGATTCAAGGAAGGAGTCAGTTGTTCATCTGCTAATAGAATGAACTCATGATGGAAACTTCAGTTCATTTGCTTTGTCCTGAAAATTCCCTGGTTCTGTTCCATTCTGAGCGAAACTGGCCTTGGGAAAAACCACGTTCTTCCTTTCCGATTCTTCATCCGGTCTGTGCTATGCGATTCCTCCCCAAATATGGATCTTATTTCTGCTCATTTCCACTACTTATTAAAATCACACCAAACACTTACTATTTTCTTATCTCTTTCACTTTTTAAATATCTTTCACCAGGTTGTATTTTGGGATTATTTTTCCAAATATTTTTAAGCACTGAATCGAACAAGCACTCAAATTGAAGTATTAGTCATGTTTTACGTATTTTTCACTGATAAAAATTATTTAACATTTTTATTTTTACTTGATTACATATGCACATGTATTTGTAAATGTAAAATACTAATATTCACTAATGTATGTACATAATGATCAATTGGTTTAACTTCTTTTATGTAAGTATGGTATATAAATTTCAAGAAGAACACTTTTTTGGCTGTTGGTGTTGGTTTGCTTGTTTTGAGTTTGTTTCACTCCAGTTTGCCCCTTCATAGTCCAGTTTGGGTCAAAACTTCATGTTAAACAACTCTGCATTGGTTATGGCGGTAGACATATGACGGTAGAAAATGTATACAGAGCTAGAGACAACTAACATTCTTGGAAATACTGCTTTTGTTTTACTGTGGACCATTCCTTTCATGCATTGAAATGGAGAAATTTAAAGTAAAAGAATTCTGTTTTTCAAGCAAGCTTAATAAACATTACATTATACATATATTTTTATACATCTGTCTTGATCATTTAGTTTACTTTCTCAATTATTGTCAAAATTTTTCTTTTTCCTTTTTTTTTTCTTTTTTGAGATGGAGTCTCACTCTGTTGCCTCTGGAGTGCAGTGGCGGGACCTCGGCTCACTGCAACCTCTGCCTCCCAGGTTCAAGCAATTCTCCTGACTCAGCCTCCGGAGTAGCTGGGACTACGGGCACATGCCACCATGCCTGACTAATTTTTTGTGTTTTTAGTAGAGACAGTGTTTCACCATGTTAGCCAGGATGGTTTTGATCTCCTGACCTCGTGATCCGCCCGCATCGGCCTCCCAAAGTGCTGGGATTACAGGCGTGAGCCACAGTTCCTGACCTTTTTTTTTTTTCGCCTTTGAGACAGGGTCTCCCTTTGTCACCCAGGCTGAAGTGCAGTGGCATAATCATGGCTTACTGCAGCCTTAACCTCCCAGGCTCAAGTGATACTCGCACCTCAGCCTGCAAATAGCTGAGACTACAGATATGTGCCACCATGCCTGGCTAATTTTTGTATTTTCTGTAGACACAGGGTTTGCCATGTTGTCCAGGCTGGTCTCAAACTTGCGAGCTTGAGCAACCCGCCCACGTTGGCCTCCCCAAGTGCTGAGACTACAGGCCTGAGCCACTGCTTCTGGCCAAATTTTTTTCTTCTAGCTACTTGAGGCTGCCACATCTGGATGGAACTGAGTGGAGGGGGAAAGAATGAAAAACTCAAAATTTTGAGTTCCCATGAGGGTGTCTTGCTTTCTCTCCTGAGTTACAATACTTCAGCAAAATCACCAGGCTTTAGAGATATGGTGTAGTCTGCTAACTTTTTAATGCCCTTACCCACATTTACCATGTTTCCTGGCCTTCCTCTGTGTCAACTCTTAGCTCCTCCTAATCATTATTTAATACACGAGTGAGTTTAGTAGTGATCATATTTCTCAGGTCCTTCAGAAGGTGGAATTTTAAAATAAGTAGAAGGAAGAGTATATGAATTCTTTGGCGCTCACTCCCTGACTTGCTTATGGCCAGGACAATCTATCCCCTGTATCTAATTTTAATTTCATGGTTAAATTTGAGAATTGTGGAAACCAAGTTCCACAATGCTATTCTCAGATTTCTTCCCACTTCTTTTTCAGCTAACTCCAGGGATATGTATCACCTTTGACTTAATTCCCTTTCTCTAAGGGAAAGGGGAAAAAGTGTTCACATAGTTCCATTGCAATGTTTTTTATAATGGAGGAGAGATATTGTAAATAGAGACTGCCAGCCAGTTTCCACAAAAAAAAAATTGAGTTCATAAATTTGACTTGTTTGAACCCATAAAGCATTTTCTTTGCTTAGAACCACTATAAAAGTGAGTGAGTTTTCAGGCTCTGTATACGTTTTAATTCCCCACGTTTTATATTGGAGAGTTCAGTACAGACTGTACATCACTGCACCAAAAGAATGAGTGAACTGTTGCCTATGGAGAAGGAACACTTCTTCTTCCTGCTGTCTGGGAACCATCTCAGTGTGGCATAATGGTTAAGAGTACAGATTCCAGACCCTGTTTCTTAGATTTAAATCTTGACTCTGCCACATACTAGCTGTCTGACTTAACCTTAGTTTCTCCGTGCTTCAGTTTCTTCATCTGTAAAATGGAGATAATAGTACTTACCTCATAGAGCTGTTGTGAAAAGTAATGACTGAATATGTAAAAGCACTTAGAACAGTGCCTGGCACATGCTAAGTGCTTTGTTCATTGTTGTTGTTATTATGTAATTTTCTCTTAGACTGAGAGCACTGTTAGTGACTCAAGTAAATTTATAGTTTTTAAGGTCAGAGGAAAAAAAGCCTTATTTTTTGTTAACAGTCTTAACAAATAATAACATGGAATAAAGAAACCAAGACCCCATCTTCTGTGAATATTAGGGCTTTTTTTTTTTTTTCTGACAGTGATAAATCTGTTTTCACTCTGGCATTTCTATTCCCGTGTATATCCAAACATGTCCTGAAGAAGAAATGAGATGTTCCAGCAAAAACACATAAACAGGAAGTAGCTGTTCTGCTCAGCTTGGCAGGTGTTCTTTCCTAATTCTTCCCAAGCTGTGAGTCAGAAAGTCCTGGAAGGAGTTGTAGGAAGTTGTAGAGACTGGGTCACAGACCTAAGGAAAGGGATCATTTGGATCACCGCACGTCCTGGCATATTCACCAAAGCCCTTCCTGGCTCTGACTGCCATGCCAGGCAGTGGGTGAAATGCTGGCTTTTTCCTTAAGAAAGTGTGTTCTAGTGCCACCGAGAGATGCGATAGAGCTGGCTTTACCAATCTCATGATGCTTGCTTGGCAACTCTGAAAGGTAACATGGGCCAAGGGCAATTCTGCCAATTTCATACGCTAATATCTTTTAGGGTACAAAATGAAAGAACAAATCACAAAGAACAATAGATCCTTCCCACGCTGAAGGTAAGAATCTTTTATAGCTATTTTAACATATACAGTGACTACTTTCTACTAGCCAAATATCAAATTTTACAACTCCAACCAAGCCACAGTAAATAGGTGGTGACAACTCCAGAAATGTCATAACTAGGAAAGGTGCTCATCTCAGGTGCATTGGTATCCAGGATGAGTTAGAATTTTTAAATGTCAGTCATTCAAAAATTTTGAGCTGTGACATCACAGAATTAATTTTAAGGCCTTTTAAGGGAACAATTTAGAAAGAGAACAGTGCTCTTTTTATATCAATGCCTTTACATTTATTTAAAAATAGTCCTAATGCTTTATACTGAAATGTCATATGCAAATATGTTCAGGCTCTAACATATAAAGTTCTAACATATAAAGTTCAGGAAACTGCTGAAGATTGTGTACAGCTTAAAAATAATAAAATAGGGTAACTATAGTGTTGATTTTATATATAAATGCTATCATACTATATTTTGCCATCAGACATATTTCTACTCTTTTCTTTGAAATATGCAAAGTTTCTCCAACAGCAGCATGCAACTCATTCATTTGTAATCAAGATGATAGTTTGAAACATCCAATTGTAATCAGAGCAACAGTTGACTTACTTTTGATAGCAGAGTTGAAAATCATTGCAAGTAATAAAATGGGGCTATTAGAAATGGAAAATGAATAGGATCTAGAATGTAACTTCATCATATAAATGACGAGTGTCTTTATTATCAACACGTGTTATTAAGAATGGGCAAGATGTCCTTATATACTAGAAGTTTTTGTAAAGTCATGTATCTATTGGTAATAAAGATTTTCTGAACTGATGTTCTGAGTGAGACTACAAAGGATGCTTTAAAACCAGTGATATCTGGATGGGCATGGTGGCTCACACCTATACTCCCAGCACTGTGGGAGGCCAAAGTGGGCAGATGACTTGAGGCCAAGAGTTCAAGACCAGCCTGGCCAACATGGTGAAACCCCTTCTCTACTAAAAATACAAAAATTAGCTGGGCTTGGTGGTGCATGCCTGTAATCCCAGCTACCCTGGAGGTTGAGGCATGAGGATCACTTGAACCAAGGAGGCAGAGGTTGCAGTGAGCTGAGATCATACCACTGCACTCTAGCGTGGGCAACAGAGTGAGACCCTGTCTCAAAAAACAAGCAAACAACAACAACAAAACCAGTGATGTCCTGCATAATGAGGATTGAGAGACAAGTCCCCAACACTGTATTTTTAAATTCCTGATGTTTCTTTTTAAGTTCTATTTTATATTCTATCTGAAGCATCCATAGATACTTCTTGGACCTCTTCTATTTTTCTTAATCTATATTTCTACATTTTCATGGTCCTATAGCCAACTCTTTAGACATATCCACCCTTCTGTATCTCAGCATGCCATAATGTTTGATAGAGGGTAAAAATAATAGAGTATACACACACACACACACTCACACAGAATCTACCATCGTCCCCATTCCCTGCTCCTTCTGTCTACCTTAACTTGCAAATGGCAGCATCAATCAACTGCCACCTGCCCAGGTCAGACAATTATCCTCTCTTACTTCCATTACTTCAGCAGCTTTTAATTGGCCTCTGGCCTCTAGTCTTATCTGCTCCAGTCTAATCTCTGTACAATGCTGTAGTACAGTCACAGTGCCTTTTTGTTGTTGTTGTCATTATGTTGCTGTTTTTAATTGCAGCTCCCTTCCTCAATGTTGGGAATTATAATTTGACATGAGATTTGGGTGGGTACACACAAAAACTGCTCATCCTTCCAGCCCCTGGCAACCACCATTCTACTTTCTATCTCTATGAGCTTGAATACTCTAGATACCGCATAGAAGTAGAATAATACAGTATTTGTCCTGTTGTGTCTGGCTTATTTCACTTAGCATTATGTCTTGAAGCTTCATCCATCTTGTAGCACGTGTCAGATTTTAAAGCTCAATAATGTGCCATTGTAATATAGAGCACATTTGGTTTAGTCATTCACCTGTCAATGGACACAGGTTGCTCCCACCTTTTGGCTGCTGTGAATAGAGCCGTTCATCTGCTTAAAACTCTGTAATGGGCCGGGCGCGGTGGCTCACGCCTGTAATTCCAGCTACTCTGGGAGGCCGAGGGGGGGCGGATCACGAGGTCAGGAGATGGAGACCATCCTGGCTAACACGGTGAGGATACCGTGTCCCTCTTATAAAAAAACAAAATGGCACACACACACACAGCTGACTCGGAGGACTGCAGCAGGAGAATGGCGGAACCCGGAGACGAGCCTAGGGTGAGAGGAGACCAAGATCAGCGCCACTCGCACTCCCAAGACGAACAGGAGACAAGACTCCCTCAAACACACAACAAAAAACAACACACCTGCAGTGGACAGCCAACAATAAAATCCCTATCTCCTTAATAGTCATTCACAGCCCTCAGGACCAGGCCGCGCCACTATAACAACACAACACACACACACATCCATTTCTATCCTCCTTCCTGTCTTCCTTCCTTCCATCCTATCCTTCCATTCCTACTCACTTCTATCCTCCTTCCTTCCTTAC